TGCAAATCGCGCACAAACTGCTCTTACACTTTAACTCTCCCGAAAATTAACCTGATAAAAATGCCGAAAAGCCGATGGGTAGCCTGCAGGCCCATAGACATGCTTGTTATCGACAAAATTGCAGCAATGGTCAGGATGGTTACTTCAATATGCATGAACGCCATTTGTGGCCACATATATTTCGGTTTCTCCGCCAGAATACCGTAGATCTAAATTTCAATAAATTAAACAGTTTCGAAATTATTTAAGGAAGAAATTACATTGTTCCAAATGGAATGAGACTGTAACAATAATATGTATAAAATATAAAAAAACTAATTAAAGAAACAGGAATGGAAAATAAGCTGAAGACATACCCCAGTTAATGCTAGACCCAGGACGATGATTTTCCCCGAACTAAAAACCTCCGTCTACATTCTCTACAAGAAGTAAAGATACTCGGAAGTTTTAGCCCAAGTAATAACACTTAACAGCAGCCACTTTTTGATAAAACTGTCGGGGGCCTTCTCTTTCAAAGAAACCATCGCAAGTCAAGCCTACCATCAGCCTGTGATTTCAGTATTTAACAAAATTCTCATTATTTTCTAAATTACTTTTTCATTTGCGTTATTTAACATCATTTAAATTTTAACAAAATTTAACAAAAATTTTAACAAAAAAGAAATTTAACAAAAATTCTCATTATTTAACAAAAAACTTACCATGAGGAAAGTAGTAACTGTCGCAAAAACTAATAAAATAATCAACGCCGTGGACAGCCATAAATGAGTGTTGCCTTTTTCCAGTTGCAAACCTGAAATTAATTTTGTATTTGAAAGATTTTCTTGAGAAGTCGATTAGAAATTCACTAAGATAATGTGATAAGGAGATTTTTAACAAATAAAGTTCAAATTTCTGTTACTTTTGCTTTTTGTGACTCACAGTCGGTATGGCGCCTTATCGTGGTCAATGAGTGGGTAAATTTGGGACAAAGTGGTGATTCTCAACACATACAAAGGACAACGGGAAGCGGTTAAAAGCTTGTCAAATGTTTCTGTTATGAGGACCAATGAACTGGTAATTCCTTCAGGAGACGACACGTATGTCAGGTTCACAGGCAAACTATCTACTAGGCGATGCAACATTGGTCAGTGTAACTGAAAAAGCTGCTTGCTGTGTGGCTGGAAAATCAGATTACGGATTGCAGTCAATAAAAGCATCAAAGCTATTTAACGATAAAAGGAGACAATCGCAGTGCTAACGGCTCAGTTTAATTACATTCCTTGCTTTATTTCACTCGCTCACCGCTGCTGGCTAGTAGGTCATTTGCGGATCGCAGATCCCTCTACATCTGCAATACGCTGGGCAGTTTTGCTGTAGCATACTGCGTCTTCCCCTCAAATATGTAAATCTGAGAGGTATATTACGGATGCATATGTGTTGACTGTAGTGTTACGACCTCAGAAACAGGAAACGGATTACCCGCAACGGATGAAGCCGTAACTTGTACCTAACAAACCACTTTTTGCTTTATGACTTGCTCAGCATTTCTGGCTTTATGACTTATTTAACTCATTCAATTTACTGAATTTTAACAGTTTTTAATCAAAAAATTTTGATTATTAGCTAGAGTAACTTCGGTACACTTACTAAAAAATCCAAAAATAGTAACAATTAATATGGTAATTTCGATAAGTCCACACAGAACAGCGGCATTTCGATAATGCATAAGACGCGCAACTGCTGGTGCCATGTAGAATGCATCATCCTTATCGAAAACGAACGCACTTTTTTCGTGCTTTTCATCCTCTGTGACTGTTTCTTGAGCTTCTGTGACACTGGTCATCACCAGTGCTGCTGAAATTCAGTAAAGTATAAAATCCAACGAATAGCTAGAAACAATTGCTGGAAGTTTTATTGATATCAGCAAAAACAAAGATGAGACAGATGCGCTACTCGTTTTCCGGAAAGATAGAAGAAATCTGTTTTGTTCGAAAATTTGTGATATTTTTCCCAGATCACTAAGACTACCGGGCAATCAATGTGAAGATCCGATGTTAGTGATGTTGCTCGGATGAATTCCACACGTTGCTTACAGCTATGCCAACCTCTCAGTTCCGGGCTGCTTAAAATGTATTGGCATCTGTACTTCTTACGTGCCTGCGCCTTTCAGTGAAAGCGAATATGGAGGGGACTTTTGACTTTTGTTTTCGTATAGAAGGGAAATTTTTTAAAAAAGGAAAATAATTACTGCAGTACGTAGGGGAACAGAATAATTAGTGCATTACATATAAATTTACAAACATTCAACGAACAAAACCTGAAATACTCTTTTTGTGGCAATTAGAGTCGGAACTGCTCCGATTTTTGCACTCAGTGAAAGGCGGGGATACTAAGAAGTGTAATCGGCTTTTGGAGCGACCAACATTCTCGTTTTCAGGATGACAAGGGAATCAACAAAAAACACCTGCAGCAAACTGAACACGTTTTATGACCAAAATTTTTAGGAATAAGTATCCATTTTTAAGGGTAAAAACATTTATGCTTATAGAAAGGTATATTAAAATAAGAAGCAGAATCGAAGAGGAAATTCGGAGATAAGAATTAAGAAATTAGTAAAATTATTTTAATAAAATTATCGTAATTTTCGATTGCTTCCGCATCTTACGAAGAGCAAATTTTGGATATCTAATTATTCGGGACCGAAAGGCTTGGTATAGCTGTGTCTGGCACGTGGAGCATTTCAGAAACATCACTAACATCGGACACTCAGAATGACCGTGTGTTCAGTCTTGGTACATTCATTTGGGCTAAATTAATAACAACGCAAGAAAAAGTTCAGTACAATTCGAAAGCCTCGAATACTGTTATATAAATATGGATCAATGAGCGCGTAAATTTGGGAATTTCATACGTGGGTGAACATGCACTCGTGTGTGTGGATGCGGATGCGGATGCAGTGCTCTGATAAAATAGGATTTCTTTAGGAAACTGTTCGGTTGGGGAGTGGAGACGGTGGCAGGTGCCGTTGGCGTATTCAGCCACTTGGTGTTGCTGTAGTTTGGCCTAATTTCATTGTGA